CCCAGCCTGACACCATGTAGAATAGTTAGTTAACATTAACAATATGAGTTGCTGACCACAAATTCATTCTCTCTCTCTATTCTTTGCCAAGAGGATTCTGATAATACCCAACTATTCAAGTCCTTGGAAGGCAATCCCTCCCTGGCTCAAGGATAAATACTAGATATGCCAAGCCCAGCTTTCCAGCCCTGTCCTTCCCACAATGTGAAGCCAGGGCTGAGGGCAGGCTGTGGTCATTGCCCTTATGCCTTGCTGACTGGTGGTCTGGGATGGTAAGCCCTTATCAAGAGGCTTGAAAAATGGAAAGTGCTGAACCAGGGCCTGTGATCAAAAGACTTGAGAGTAACTCCCTTGTCCCCTTAGATCTGCATCAGAACTATTTTTATGAGGGTTATCTGAGGATTCCTTCCACAAGGGAGTCTAGGGGACCCACAGAGTCACCAGAGACTATAGAGGATTGGCCCAAGTTTATCAATGTAAGATTTTGTGTCTCCCAATTCTGTTTTCTTGTTTGTTGTTCATTCAAAAATATCCATGGAATGCCTTCTATATGTTAGACACGGTTTATGGTTTGACTATGAGTTGCTCCCAAAGGCTCATGTGTTAAATGCTTGGTCCCCAGTTGATAGTGGTATTTTGGGAGTTCTTGAAAATTTAGGAGGAATAGGAGCTGAAGGAAGTAGGTCTTTGGGAGAGGGTCCATGGTGATATCTGACCTGTTCTTCCCGCTTGCTGTGATGCTAGAACCTTCTGTGCTGCATGTTCCCACTATCACCATGCTCTGCTCAAGCTCATGATGGCCAAACAACTGTGGACTAAACCCTCTGAAACCATGAACCAAAGCAAATATTTTCCTCTCTTAAGTTGTTTATACTTGACATTTGGCCACAGCAGTGAGAAAAGTAATTCACACAGATAATGAATTTTGAAAAACCGAATAAGGCAAAGTTCTTACATCCATGGTGCTCAGTTTCTGAGCAAGATATAATTAGTGCAGTAACGCTGTGGAACAGAGTTCCTAACAGGACCATGGACACCTTAAGCATAAAAAATATACTTATACATCTTCTATTAATTTCTATATAGAATTAAAAAAATTATTATTTTATGTGTATTCGTGTATTGTCTGCATGTCGGTAAGTGCAACTGTGTCGTGCAATGCTCACGGAAGACAGAAGAGGCTGTCAGATCCCCTGGAGAACTGAAGTTACAGTTGTTAGCTGCCATATGGGTGCTGGGATTCGAACCCGGGTCTTCTGCAAAAACAGTCAGTGTTCTTAACCACTGAGCCATCTCTCCAGCCCAATTTCAATACAGAACTTTTTAATGCTGGTATCACTAATGGACATCATTCTTGTCGTTTTGATGACTTCTATTGTGGGTGATCTTTAGTCAAAAGAAAATGTTTTGTAACATATTTATAAATCTAGGTGGATTTTCCAAAGTAACAATATTAGGCAAAAATTTAAGTGGGTGGGCTTCAAGTTGCTGTTGAATAAGTGGCCCCATTCCAGGCCTGCAATACCAGCCTGCTGGGTCTGTCTCCACCATGAGAGCGTTGAGGGGGTCATTTTTACCTTGTAGTGTTTTTGTTAATTGGGAGTGTGACTGTGGCTTTATGTAGCTGGAATGCTGAGAAAAAAATTCCCAAAAGGCCATTGAAAGTTCACAGGATCCTGTATAGGAAGAAAACAGTGTTTCAAATTACAACCATAGAATAAATTTGGAACTCAGCTTTTTGGACTTTGCTCTGCCTTTATTTATCAGCTCATGTTGCAGCAGGAGAAAGGACTCTATTTCCCTTTGAGTCACAGACCTTGACAGGGGTTAGTGAGAGTTCCTGGATACCTTCTGTCTTAGGGAGCAAAGAAGCAACGCCACAGGACAAACCTTCTCGTTGTAGAGTCATGGCTAAGCCACAAGCAGAGACAATCCATGGTCATAGAGAAACCAGAACGGGGTATCAGCTAAAGTGATAAAAGCAGATTCTATTCAGGGTTTGTATCAAGGGAAAAGAGATCTCATGTGGATCATTCTGCACACAGTGAGAGTCAAGGGCCAAGGAGCAGGATAGGGTCAGAGGGTGGAAAATTACCAAGAGGAGACACTGGAAACTATGACTGAAACCACCAAACAGGATTCTTGACAGAGTGATAAAATGGCACCTGGGGAATGCTGGGAGCGATGGAAGATTTTGTTGCAAGTGGAATTTGAGAGGAAGTGCACAGATGGGCCTTAGAGAAGTTCTAGGAGCCTGACTAAAACTGGTTAAGCAGAGACCCCTTGTCACACTCCATTTTCCTCTCCTTTGTTGGGCTCGTACTAAGCAGATCCTAAATTATCTTTAAAACCGGTTATGGTTTTTTTTTTTTTACATAAAAGGTCCTAATGGCAATTGCAAATATGTCCTTGGAATGTGACCTGATTACATGTGGTCTGAAAAATTGTTCCAGCAAGAATAATCTGGAGATGCCAAGGAGGTTGCTGGGATCTGGGCCACGTTCTCTTTCTTCTCCAGTCACCATGAGGGTCATGTGACAAATAAAACTCAGTGAAACCACCTGGTAGCAATTTCATATGACCCATCCTTACCTCCATATGGAGCTCTTGTGCTGAGAGCACAGGCGGGCAGAGGGGTGGAAGGGACCTTCTGTTTCTGCCCCATTCCAATGTCCTCTTCTGGGAGGTAGGACTGTCTACTCTGTTCTCCGTGATTCTGTTAAAGCAGATTATTTTGTGGGGCACAAACTTGGACATGACATTTCCTGGGCAGTCTCCTTGGCTGTATTTTTCTTGAGGCTCTTATTTGGCTACATGAAAGCTGTTTTGGGTAACCTGTGAGCAAATCCAGCACTCTGAGCTGGTAGAGGGCATAGGATTGATTATAGGGCGGAGGAATCCTAAATCCCCCTAAACCATTTGGGTAGAAAGCAACTGTTGGTCAGACAGTGACTCAGCACTGAGAGGAAGTTGAGAACAGGACTTGAAACTATGAAAAAGGGAAAAAAAGAATCATCGCCCAGAATGGCATCCAGGCGACACACCCTGCCACAGCTGTGAAATGAAACCACTGCGCAGCTTCAGCATTGTGGTGTGATGGACCGAATGCTTGTGCCTGAAGTCCCCCTCTCCTCCTAGTGTGATGGTATTCAAGGCAGGGCCTTTGTAGGTGATTGGGGCTGGTGTGTGTGTGTGTGTGGGGTCCTCATGATGGGGTCAGTGACATAAAAGAAGGGAAAGACCAAGAGTACTCATTTCCTCTGGGGGTGAGCATGGAGGACAGACCATGTGAGGAGAGATAGACAAGGCAGCCATCTGCAAGCTGGGAAGCCAGTCCCACTAGGAACTGAACAGACCACACCTTGTACTTGGACTTTCCAGCACTCAGAGCTATGAGGCAAAAAATGTGTGTTTACAACATTCAGCTGTCTGTGGCATTTTGTTATGGTGGTTCAAGCAGACCAGGGCATAATGAAGTTAGCTGCTACCCCTGTGTCTCACAGCAACCATACAACCTGGCACGATGGTTTGAGGCCTAGCTCTACAGGGCTTCTGGAGCTTACTCCAGCTATACAGACAGCAGCCTTTATGTGAGTGGGCTGTGCTGCACCACTGGACCTATGTCCTCTTCCCTTGAAGCTGGATACTTTGTAATGTCTTTGATCAATAGGATCTGGTGTGTATGATGTCACATTAATAACAGAAGGCAATACAGCATCCTGCCTCTTCACTGGGTGACTATGGTGACCCGAGTTACCAAAGAAGGTCTCCCTCACCCTGAGACCACCGTGCCAGAAAGGCTGTGTGTCAGAGCTCTAGCGCACAGCTGAGTGCAGCCTTCCAGCCATCTCATTCAAGTACCCAACATGGGTAGAGAAGTTTCCATGTGATTCTCGCCTTTTGCTTTAGTCATTACAACCTTTAAGTCTTAGGTCTTCCCAGTGAAGCCTCCAGACTTGCTGAAGCAGAGACAAGCTATCTTCACTGTGCCCTGCATGAATTCTTGACTTAAGTACAGAATCTGTGAGCACCAGAGAATGATGGCTTCATACCCCCGGTCCAGGGCTATTTGACATGCAGGAATTGTAACCAGGAGCCCACTGAAAGGTAAGGAAAATGAAGTCTTACAGAAAGAATGAGTGGTCAGAGCCATGGAAGAGCCAAAACCAACTTTTCCCTTGTATGAGCTGAGAACATACAAGATTCCTGTCCTGACCTCTCATTTCATGGGGTTTCTTTACCCTTGCGGCCACACTTTGAGGCTTTCAAATTAGACTATCTTCAGAGGCCACAGCCCAAACCAGGATCCAGGAGGGACTGTATGCTTCCAAGGAAGCAATAAGTTCCTATCTTTGGAGGCTGCCAAGTACACCCTACATATACCAGGTAGAGCAAAAATCACTCTCAGGTGAATATCTTAAACTGCAGCAAAGCTGCAGGCAGGATAGGACCAGGTAACTTTAATGCCCTGGCTAGCTTGTGACATTGGAATTTAGGCCCAAATCAGGAGGAGAATAGAAACTATTCTTACTTATAAGAGCTGTCCCGAGGGTGATACTGGACATTGGTCACTCTAAGTATTCCCTTAGGGAAATAGCCATAGGTCTGTCAGGCTTGCTTCCCAAAGCTGTTTCTCACCAGTGAAATTGATCTCACTCTGGTCACTGCTAAAATCCATAGACATAACTGGAGGGATGGTTCAATGGATAAAGTTCTTGCTGTACTTGAAGGACTTGAGTTTGGATCCCCAGCATGGAGGTACATGTCTCTAACTCCGGTGGGGAGTAATGACAGGGAGATCCCAGGGGCTCACCTGTCAGCAAACCTAGTGGAAACTATGGGCTCCAGGTTCAGTGAGAGACCCTGTCTCAAAACATAAGTGGAGAAGAGACTAAGGAAGACCAATCTCTGGCCTCTCTACTCACCTTCAGGTACAGGTGAGCATACCCTTGCCCCTACATATGCACACATGTATACCGCCCCTACAAGTCCACAGATGCTTTTTGAAAGTACAAATGTTTATTATTATGAAAGCCCAACAGACATTTAGGAAGACGTCTCTCAGCTTCTCCAGGCTCAGAGACCATAGGAGTAGGAGTAGGAGTAGGGCAAGATTTAGGCCTCTTGGCTGGGTGTTTTCCTATGCCACAAGCTTTGCATGGAAGAAAGGAGCAGCTGATTTGGCCAACAACTGGTCAAGCCTGAGCCTTGTAGGCCGCAGTGTCCTTGGATCAGTGCATTGATTTGTAGTCTGATCTACTTGCTCTGTCATTAGGAGGATGTAAGAATTTACTTCTACCTACAGCCTGACGTTTTCCAGCGAAGTGGGTGAACGGATGTTTAGACACACAGATATGTGACCCTTTCTCAGCTCCCACAGGTATGTCTTAGAAGTACTCTCCTACACCCTCACTGGTTGCCCAATAATGAAGCATCTCAGTTTAGACACCTGCTAGAAATCCATGCTCATTGGTTCCTTCTCCAGAGACCTTGATTCTGTGTATCCTGTGCCCAGGTGATTTTGTGAGAAGAAGGAGTGAGTCATGAGCTCCTGCGGGACACTTCATGCTGATGCTTTTGTTTGGTCAGAGGTATGCTAGGGTGGGCAATGTGCAAACACCTGGACATGACATCGGGGAGAAGTGGAAAAACAACCCCAGGCTGGTCTCACCTGAGTCAGAGCATTGGTTGAAAAGCACCTGGAAACTGGAAGACAAAGACTAAAAGCTGACTGAAGGTGTTCCCTCCCCCGCCCCCATTCATGGGTAAGGCTGAAGCAGCAGGGCCTGGTCTCTGGCTTCTCGCCACCGTTGTTCTCTGGTGTCTTCAGGAGTCACTGCCCACCAGGTTCAGCAGGGCATTTTTGTAGTCACTGCTGGTGTCAGCCTGTGGGAAGGAGGCACACGAAAGTTGTTTGTGATGCTGGTCTTGCTGTTCAGGAGCAGCTGCTGTTGTCATTACTGAGAGCTGTGCTGTCCCTTCAAGGGTTTTCATACTGCAGGCTCATTGTGACGTCACCCTTTTTCCTGTTCCTCACTTCAGACTATTTCTTTGATTCCCTTATCAGCTATGTGGGGGATAGTGGTGGGGAATGACTCACTGAAAATGATGTACTCTAAAGCTCTTAGACAAGGAAAAGGCTTGGGAGTGGTTTCTTTATACAGTCAACTGCCCCAGGGTTCTTACCCAGGTTTCCCTTAGAACCCAGGTATGCTCATTCACTTATTCAACAAGCTTCATTATGTATTCAGTATCTGTTACTGCAAAAGCTCTTAGACAAGGAAAAGGCTTGGGAGTGGTTTCTTTATACAGTCAAACTGCCCCAGGTTTCTTACCCAGGTTTCCCTTAGAACCCAGGTATGCCCATTCACTTATTCAACAAGCTTCATTATGTATTCAGTATCTGTTACTGTACTTCCTGGAGCCAAGGCTGAAAGCAGGGAGCCCAGAGCCACACCTGGAGGCAGGACATGGGGTGGAGAAGGCTCCGGTTTGTACCATGCAGGCCTGGACCATGGCTCTGTCAATATACGTGGACCCTCATTTTACCTCTGTGAGATCTGTTCCCTCACTTGTAAAATGCTACTGGTAAAGAGATGCACTTTGTGGAGCTGGATGAGGGGTGAATGGCAGGAGGCTGAGTTGCCTGTCCAGCAATTGGCTCATGTAAGAGACCAGCCATGTTCCGTTCTCAGTAAGAGGGGGCTCACAGGCCCAATGGCTGAGCCTCATCTTCTAGCCACTCGCAAGTCTTAACAAGAGGAGCTAGTCAAGGGTCTGCTCACAGTCAGGGGAACTGGTAAGGCCAAGTCATCCAGTTTACTTTTTGTACAGTGGAGAAGAATGGCTCCAAGGGGAATGTGGACTCATGAAAGCTTTGTGGCTGGGGCTGGGTCTGCTTTGCTCTCCAGTAGTCTAACCCTCATGAGAACTATCTGTTTCTTACTAGTTAGGAAATTTGCCTAGTCTTGTTGATTTTTAAGTATATCTTACATTTCATTTCATTTCCTTCTTTTCTTACCTTTTTTCTTCCTTTCTCATTCTCTCTCTTCCCCTCTCCCCTCTCTCCCTCTCCCTCTCTTCCAAAAGCCATGAATCTTGTCTGCTTTTTCAAATGTAAGGGTTAAATGTGGATTTTTAGTCACTGTTCTATTAATTTCTATATAAGATTTTGAAACGTTGGTATCTCTAATGGATATCATTCTTATTTGATGACATCTATTAAAGATTATCTATGTGCTCAAAAGAAAATATTTGGTGAACATATTCATAGATTTAGATGGATTTTCCAAAGTGATAATATTAGGCAAAAATCTAAGTGGGTGGGCTTCAAGTGCTGCTTGGAGAGTGGTCCCACACCCATTCTGCAATCACCGGCCTGCTGGGTCTGTCTTCATCAGGGGAGCGCTGAGGGGGTCATTTTTACCTAACAGTGTTTTTGTTCTTTGGGAATGTGACTGTGGTTTCATGTAGATGGAACGCTGAGAAGAAACAGAAAATCTCTCCAGTGTTCTAAGTTACCGTGTGTGTTTGAAAGAATTCATGTCAGCTCAGACACCCTGTGGATGACCCAGCAGCAGCCCAGGCTGACCTGTGCTTAGCTTTCCTTATCACCTCACCAGCTTGGCTGTAAAATGTAAATCACAACAAAGAATAGTTATAACTCCATCTCTGCCTTTCTACCTCCCCTGTCATCCTGAAACATTTTAGAGCAGAGATGTTTTTAAAACATGGAGTTGTCCCTTAGCATCCACGGAAAAACGGTCCCAGTACCCCTATGGGCACCAGACTGCATACTCAAGTCACTTACTGAAAATGTAACAGTAGTTACATATAACCTATACATATCTTCCGTATGCTTTAAATAATCTCTAGGTAATTTATAATGTGTAATGCAATGTAAATGCTGTGTAAATAGCCATAGTGTATTGTTTAGTGAATAACAACAAGAAAGTATCTGTAAGTATTCATCTTTTTCTGGATATTTTTGAACGTGCAAATTCAGCGAGTCAATTGAATTGTAAACTATGTGCTTCTTCTCAAAGTCAATAATCTAGCCCTGTAGGAGAACTAGAGACTTGACTTAGTAACCAATGCAGACTCGGCAATATGCTTTTGATTCAACTTCTGTTAATGAAATTGTTAAGGCCTCAATTTGCATTAGTTACTAGATGAGCTTTTTCTCAGTTATAGTGGGGTACCATTACCCTGCATTTGAACACCTTGGAACTGTCACTAATTAGAATGTAGGTAGGCAACCCCCTGAAGCCTATCCAAATTATTTCCTTAAAAATTCTCTACTAGGACTCCTTAAATCTAGATTGAGAAGGAGTCCTGATTTACAAAACTACTAATTTACGTTTTCTCATTGCCTCTTCACACATGGTTCGTTCTGCAAAGTTTTGATACATTTCCCAAAGGACAGCTGTAGCTCAAATGCAAAACCGCTCTCTGGGACAAGAGTCATGGTCTGTGTTTCTTGCTTTAGTTTCTGTGCCCCCTGCTCCCCATGCACTCATAGTTGCATTGCTTCCTTCATGATCTCCGCATGTGCCACTAGTATTTAGTGCAAGTATGAGATGCTCGCTAGTAGGCAATGGTCACTTGTGTGATGACATCAGCCATAGCATCAAGTGCCCCAGGAATGTTAGTGTCACAAGCTGGCAGTAAACTTGGAAACCTGTGGCTTACCATGATCATGCTGCTGAGAGTCTTTCCATATATCTTCTGGAATTGAGACTTGATAAGATTTAAGTCAATCTCGCTCCTTGAAACAATGTTCCGTATCAGCGTCCCATCACGAGTCCCTGCTCCCTGGATAAGACAGTGGCAATCAGCTATCATTTCTTACCTTCCCTGTCTACTTCTGTAATGATGTACAAACCTGTGTGGTTGGGTTCTGGACATTTATAGAAGGATAGAAGTGTAGGACTGAGCCTCTGTTTCAGTGAGGAGAGCATCAAGAAGGGTGCTTCGGTAACAGAGGTTTCTTTTTGTTTTTGCAATACTTTCAAAGGTTTTTTTTTTTTATTCTTGGTGGTGCTGGGGGTTGAGTCTAGGGACTCATGCATGCTAAGTGCTCTACCACTGAGCTACAGCCCCAGCCCATGACAGACGATTTCTATTTCCCACTCTCCTCACTTATTGCCTCTATCTTTCTTTATTAGAAACTCAATGCCTCATATTGTGGTAAGTGTTTGATTTGCTGCATCATGTTCCAGACACAAAATACTGCTCCAGTAAGGCCGCTTCTTGGAGCAACAGTACCATCAAAATCACCTAACTAGCCATTTCAGAAGGGTATTCTGGCTCTCTCACATCCTTTGACTAGTCTTGAGTCAGATGCAGCTTCATGGCCAAGGGAAGAACACACTGTTTTCTTTCTCGGGCAGATGTGGCCAGAGAGCTTGAGAAAGATGGTATGACTCTTGCTTCATATGTTGTTAGCAATCATGTACCAGAGAAATTGGGCACTGACTTTAGTCCTGATAATTAATTGAACTATCTTCCAGTTTAGTTCCAGACACCAACAACTCTACCAGGATGAGTGGCATAGCCATCTTTTTTGGTGCCAGGGCAGCCTTTTAGATAACAGGCAATCTGAAGTTAGTATCTGGCCATGGGTAGGGAAACTGACATGCTGAATTTGGCAATGTCCCCTGAGTCTGGCCATGTCAAGGCTGCTACAGTTTCTGGCAGAGCCTGCCTGGGGCCTCCAGCAGCCAGGTTGCTCTCGAAGAGGAGTTACAGTCAAGTGAAAAGCACAACTCGATGGACTTGAGATCCAGGCCTGGCTCTGCCATTTAGTAGCTGTGAGACCTTGAATACGAGCCTTAGTTTCACCACACTTAGAATGGCAGTTACAACATGAACATTAAAGAACTGTGGTAAAGGTTCAGTGCAATAAACACCTGTGAATGCACCTCTTCAAATCCACCTTTGAATGTGGCTTCCCTTCCCTAGGCTTGGTTTGCCTTCTGTGAATGAAAATCTTTCTGAGGCATAAGACATTAGGACAAGAGGAATGCCAGTGTTAGAGGTAGTCGTGGCTCTGTGTTCCCAGGCTGTGCACTTGGCATCATGTAGGGGATGACTATAAGGAAGGCAGAAGACAGGGTAGTTACCTTCATGGCATAGTGAAGTCTCTCTGCAAAGTAGCTGTGGAGGTTCCGGGTGCATTTCACTGACAAACAGGAGAAATCTATTAACTTTAGGACGTTGTAGGTGGCATGGCACACACCTTTGTTTATGTGTTCCTGTAGTCTTAAGGGTGAGCATTGTGTAAGAGTTGGCATATTTCTTTGTCCCCGCTTAGCTTCAAAATAAAGACTTTGTGTCAGGTGAAGTGGGGCAGGGAAGGGAGCTGGGGGCACTGGGCACAGCTCCAAAGGCCCAGAGGAGGAAGAGGGTGAGATGTGAAATTGATTTGGCACCTGTGAGCTCATCTTGAGCCATCAACTCAGGCCCAGGTTACTCAGCTCCACATAGGTACCACAGAATGGCAGCCTCAGAGTACCTTGTAAATAGGAACCTCACATTTTGAATTTCCGTGTGACAAATGGACCTCAGCTTTGAGATCTAAGACACCAGGAGCCCCTGGTCCAGAGCGTAAGCCCCATGCTTGCTCTTCCACAGCTGTATCTTTCATGGATTGTGGCACCTGCTAGTATTTTAACCCAAGGCTGTAGGAGTGTAGATTTTTCAGGATGTAGGAATGCATGTCAATGCTGTCTTGATGATACTGTATGACTTTGTTACTCAACCTTCTGACATATCTATGGCATAAGGGTGACTTTAGGTTTAGGCAGAAATGAACAGAGAATACCTATCACAGTGGGGCCCTGCATACCACAACTGTTTAGGAGATGTTATTTAGGATCTACATGCAGACTTTGGAGTTCTATGTGGGAGCAGTGGATGTGCCTAGATGTTGTAACCTAGAATAAACTTTACCACCATGATCAAAGCTGGCCTGGAAGTCTCAGACATTAACATCCACTGGAGAGATAGGGACAGAGAAAGGAGGCTTTGTCTGCTGCCCTTCACACAGAGGCAGGCTGGGTTGGAGGTGAGTGACCTACTTAGGAGCTCCAACCTTCGTGCCATTGTGTGGGGCAGTAGAGGTCCTTCAGCCTGGCTTGGGTCTCTGCTCTACAGTGACTTTTCCCATTATGATTTCAGCTTTAGATTCAAGATGTGCTAAGGAACAGGCCATCCTAAATGGACTTGGCTTCCTGCTGTAGGGAAAGTTCTCAGTGTTCCTCTTGGTTGGGACTTAAATCATCTACCTTAGTTTCTTCAGTTGTCAACTAAGGTTAGGGCTGGGTACCTGGATTAGGCTCAGAAAGGTGGCTTTGTTCAGGGCTGTAGGACCAGAAGTAGAATGCTCTCTGTGTAACATCTCTGGGTATGCTTGGTCCCTGGACCTGGACCTGGAGTCATTGTGGTGATGCATGTGTATATGCAAGCACACACAAATGCACACTCACGCAGCATGAGGAACCACAGATAGCACAAAGAACAGTTCTCTGCAGGCTACACTGAGACTCCTGAGGTGGTGTGGTCCCAGGGTCCTGGGCTGAAAGGTATGGTCTGAGAGCGTTGTGAGGGAGGGGGAGAGCCCTTGCAGGTGAACACAGAGATCCAGACACTATCACCTCCCTGGGCTGTGTGTGAGTACACACGTGTCCAAGCTCTAAGCCCCAGCTCTTACCCACAGTAACCATGGCTTCCTCCAATGAGCCATGTGTCTCGCTCTTGATGCTGTCCTCAATGCTCTTGTTGGCAATTTTCTCATACTCCTCAAACACTAGAGAGAGGGGTATCCACTCAGGGGACACAGAGATCATACACCACACATTGGTGACCACCCTTGTTTCCCTCTTCATCCAAAGGGAAGAGTCCAGGCTCTTTCCCCTGGCTCTCTCCCCACCTTTAAGGCATGCAAGGCCACACATTGGACCTTTTCTACAAAGGGAGAGGCCTTGTGGCCAAAGCAGTTCCTGTATCCCAGCGTTGCCCCACTCTGTCCAGTACCTCTCATCAGGTGAGTGGCACTGCGTGTACACAGGATGGTGATGAATTTCATCTCGTCAGTCCCATTGATCTTCTCACCCGCTGCATACAGATCCTAGTAGTGGCACACCCACAACAAGCCAGTGAAGGAGATGGAGGAGGTGAGGGACAAAACCCAAGTCCCAGAGCTGGATGGTTAGCCTTTATCCAGCTGGCCAACCAACAGGGGAGCTCACTGTCCTGAGTTCTTGTTACTTAAACAGCTCTGGCTTAAAGCTCTTCTTTGCCTTGGGCCAGAAGCTACTTTAAAGAAATGTACTCAATCCGGCATTGTCTCTGGGAGCATTGAGCAGCAAAAGCATGCCACCAATAGACAGATAAACAGAGATCTGCACATGAATGTCTGTTGGGCCCAGAGGGGTTGATTCTGCCAGGAGAACCTTAGCTAACCCTTCCTCTCCCAGCTTTTCCAGTTCTTTCTCTGAGTCCCTCTGACACCTCATTCTCCTCCTTAAACACCAGGGTGGGAGCCTATATTATAGAAAGGTCCCCTGGGCAGAGGGTATCATAAGGTCTCCAGGAGTCAGCTCTCAGAGTCCAGATGGCAGAGCACAGACTTACCTGTGCATCTTGGAGGGCCAGTCCTGGGTCCACAAAGCCACTTACATCATCTCTGCTGCCCTAAGAAAAGAGGGGACCACTCTGTGAGGCAGGACACCAACCAGAGCACCTTGGTCTGAGGGCACAATGGGGTTAAGAGGGAAGACAGGGAAATGCTGCTGTTACATGGCCACGAGACTTCAGCAAGCTAACTGTTCTTTCCAAGCCCCATTTTTGGCATGTGTACAATGGGAGTAGTAGATGAATTGCCTCATTGGAATTGGGGATTGAGTGAGCTAAACTGGGAGGAAGGAGATGCTCAGTGACACTATGCTCCCTTCCCATTTCCAGCATACCCTCACCTGAGGAAGGAGAGGTATGGGGCTCTTGAGTCAGGATTCGCTATCAACGCTGAGACATACACAGTACACCCATAGTCTGTCCCCTCACTCAGAGGCTCTGCTCAAGGGCTGTCCCTTAAGTGGAGCTGTTTTGATCCCCAGATCGCAGAGACCCTGGAGCCTGGACTGTGATACCTGCAGGAGGCACACCAGGATCCGCTCCAGATAGCCGCTAGTGTCTGCTTGGATGTCTTCCTCCAGGTTGGACCCGTAGTCTGCAGGAAAATGGAATCAGAAGTCACAGGCTGCCTAGGGCCTGCCCAGACTGCTTTCTTCCTCCAGTCCTACTTCCCACACTTCTCCCTGTGAAAGCCTTGTAGGAAGGACAAGTTCTTGACATACGGTGTGGACATAATGCTTAGATGTCCAAGTGGGAGAACTATGTTACTTGAATGATCATTCAGACCTCAAAGTGACATGAATGCCCAACTAAATAGAAATAGACTGGATCAGAAAGCTAGACCAGGGCTTGTGGATGGAGGCTTTTTCATTGCCAGATTCAGTAAAGTCAGACCCTCAGGCAACTCCCGCCACACCCACAACATGGAGGACTGGCAGGGCTTTGATTGCTTGACAAGCTGTGCACTATGGGAGAGTTGACATCCTTAGGAAATGGGGCCCTAGCATATGACCCTCCCCAGTCTTTTGGGTCAGCCTGTGTACAGCCAGGAAGAAGCCCCCCTGTGTATTGCTGATGCAGCCTGTGGTCCCTAATACTGTCACAGCCTCAAGGGCCAGAGACCTCTGTCAGGAATATATCCCTTTCCCCAGATCCAAGCCATTGATCACTCTGCCAGGTGCAAGATTTTGGAACATGAATGTACTCGGTGCTCCTGTATAGAAAGGTCTCCAAAGGGCCCTTTCCACTGTGACTTAGTTCCCTTGGGAACTGACTGATCCTTCTTCTTTGACAGGGTTCCAAAATTTAGGCCATTTCCAGGTCCCAGCCCTTACCATCTTTGCAATGCCCTTACCCTCCTCATATGCCTTCATTATCTCCCGTAGCTGGTTCTTGGTCCGAGAAGCCAGGATCTCAATGATGACCCCTTCTTTGGTTCCTAATCCCTGGGGACAGAAACCTCTGTGTGCTGGAATGCTCTGCCCATGACCCCTGCTCTGCCTGCACTGTCTTCTTGAAAGCACTGGCCACCACTCTGCTCTTCTCTGTTGGAGGGTGATGCTGGTGGAAGCCCCACCTTCACTTCTGGTGACAGATACTTGGTGAGCTCCATCCTTAGCAGGGTGGTCTCGCATAGGTTACTCCACCTGCCCAGCCCTAAGCATCCTCATCGGGCATAGGGATAATGAGCCACCTATACCCTGATGATGGGATTAGAGACCATGATGTGAAACACCTGTCATAGACCATGCAGTTAGTATACTTTCAGTACAAGTGGCCATAGTTACTGGGTCTCTAATCCCACCTAACCCATGAAAGCAAAAGGGGTGGTGAGACGTAAAGGGTACCCAAAGGGCAGTGCCTGGGCTTCAGAGGTTGGTTTCTGATCTCCCTGAATTCTGGGTTCAACCCTATTCTAAGAGGTATTGACTTGGGGCTTCATCATGGACATTCAGTCCACTGTTGGGTAACCATCTAGGCAAGCTGCAAGCTCACTGGGTCAGTCAGGGCTGAGTGGTCATTCTAAACTGTGGCAAAGGGAAGTACCTTCATGGCATCATGCAGCTCCTTGGCCTCATATCTGCATGGTGGGTACATGAGAGCCACTATGAGTCTCTCGAACTTGCCACTCAGCTCCGACTTTAAGGTCTCAGTGAGGTCCTAAAGCAGGCAGAAAGAAAGATGAGATAAGCAGGCTCACTGGAGTGCAGGCAGCAGGGGGCAGGGTGGCGGACCCAAGGAACCTGTCTTCCTTCACACATGGCCTCTGTCATATGCTGGCTATGGGCTCTTGGGTCAGCTCCTTAACCTCTTTAAGCATCAGTGTCTGTACCTGTTAAGTAAGGACCACGGGACTCCTACTTCATACTGTTCCTTATGATGTAATGGAGACATGACAATTCAGCATGTGGTGAAATACTAGGCATGTCCAAAAGTCACAGAAAATAAAACTGCCATTGCTTACAAGACTGTATACTCTGAGGGTGGTAGTGTAATACTTAGCTCACCATTAAATGCTTCAATGAAGGAAGGAAAAAGGAAGGGAGGGAAGCAGGGAGAGAGGAAAGAGGCAAAGATTTTGTCTCACACATGTCTCTTTCTGAAGGCACATGTACCTACAAGGAGCCATCAGGCCACACCCACCTGAGAAAAGAGAAGCATGTGCCTGTGCTATGGAACATAAGGAAGCCAGGCCTGCATTGCCAGGGTGCAGGGAGGAGGGAAGGAGGCTCAGTTAGCTGGACGAACAAAGCTAGAGAGACAGAGAGCTTGGGATGAAACCCAAGGAACAGTCGTGAGGACTACAATGAGAGAACAGAGTAGGGCCGATTGTGGAAGACCAGTACCAGACTGGGGCTTGGGAGCTATAAATGGGTCCGCCAGATAAAACAGAATAGCCAGGGATGATGGATGGAGATGTGGCTGTTTTAGTGCAATGTCTGTCCCCTGTGCATATGTTTCCATCCAGAGTGAGCTGCCCAGGATACAGCCCCTACTCCATTTACCTTGCCAAACTGAGCCTTGAAGGACTTGGCGATCTGCTGCCGCTGCATGTTGCTTCTCTTGGTGAGCACATCAATGATGGCCTGCTCGTTGGTCCCTGAAGGAGTGCACAGTGTGAGAATACCCTTTACCTCTGAGAGAATTAGAAAAGCCACTGGGGAGAGGGCAGATGCTTCCTGTCTGGGCAGGTGGGACATATGACCTGAATAGCTCCAAATGCCTGCTTTTGTGGTATAAACAAGACACCTAGAAAGACCACTTCTTAGTTTCCCACCTCTAACCCATACAGTTGGGGGTAGGCTGGGCCTGGCTTCATAGCATAGAATCTGAAGACGAGGGGACTTTGGACATCAGCCCTGGGCCTTTGGAGCTTTGCCAAGTGAAATCTCCTCCATCCCCTCATTGGTGTTGGGGACAGTAGAGGAAGGTCCTGACTAAGAGTATGGACAACTGGGTCTGAGACCCTTGTCCTCTAGTTCATGGGCCACATATTCTTGGACAGGTAGGCTCATCTCCTAGAACCTCAGTTTGCTCATGTGGGAAGTGGGAATAATGGTAAAGATTTTGCAAGCAGTGTAGGATGTGAGAATGCTGTTTAAGCTCCATGGGGAATGGTAACTTCCCCTGTTGGTGTCTCACTTCACTAGGCAGAGCCAGCTGAGGGTTGAGACTCCTGGCATGAGCCAGTCCTTTACCATTCACAGTCATGTGAGGGTGGTGTTGGGTAGATGTTAGAGGCAGGAAGCAGCTAGGTCTCTGGCCACCTAACACATGAAGCGAGTTAAAAAATCCTTCTGACTGATGTACCTGCTCCCAGTACAATCCTTCTGAACTCCACACCAGGCCCTGTGTCGTACCGTCTACTGAACTTACAGTGACACAGTGGGCCCAGAGTTCTTGGCCATTTTTATAAGTGAGAAATCTCAGAGTGAGGGGGTGAAGCCATCTGCACAAGGACCTAGCAGATGACCTCTCCTGTCACTATCACCTCAGAATGGGTGTGATTCTCTGAGTAAAGGCTTCACCCAGAATAAAGTGGGGACATCCTATTCCTGGTTGTCCCTGGCATTTACTTCCTGGATATGAACATGTGGGGCCCCAATGGCCAGGCCATGGATGGTCACTCACCAATCCCCTTCATGGCTTTGTAGAGTGTCTCTGCATCAGGGTCTGGGTTGAAGTGGGAACTTCCCTTTACGGTGACACCTTCCTGTTCAACCTGCAAGAGAGCCAGGCCTGCTCATCATGGGAAATGCAGGGAGGGTAATTAGCCTCCTGGCCTACCTTGTAGCCCACCTTAGCAGTGTATGAACCTGCTGTGGGTACTGAGACCAGCTGGAACCTTACAGGACAATGACTGAGTTTCCCAGTCTGTTGGCCAACAGACTAGTGCTTCTGGGGCCAAAGTTTGCAAGAGGAAGAGCCACCTGTGTGAACTGAGACAGGTAGCAGGCCAATCATATCTAGTTCCCTCCAGTCTCCCATTCAGAGCAGGGTGGGTAGAAGTAAGTGCATAAGGAATGACTTCCTGGAGTAGAGCAGCTGCCTTGAGTGTACAACTAGATATGGTTTTCTGTTTGCATGGAAGGGTTTGAGCTCAGCTTGATCTCTGCTATGGTAAGGTGTGGGTACTTACAGGAATTCAGAGGACCAAGAACCCAGATGATGACCCTTCTCAATTGTGTGTTTTGGGGGAAAGGGTGGTAAGGAGTGGAAGGGAATTAGAGATAAGCATTGAATCTGAGAGAAACTCAGACCCTTCAAGTAGAAAGAAATTTATTTAGTCACTCAACTCTTCCACTGTCCCCCACCCACCCACCTGCTTTCCTATCTGCTCATCCATTCATTTGTTCACTCACTCTCTATTCAGCTAGCCAACCCATACACCCTTTCTCTTTCCTTTCCCTCCCTGCTTCCTTTTCCCTCCTCTCCCCTCCTCTTTCTTTTTCCTCTTCTCCCAGTTCAACCTCCCTTTTTTCTCTCAAGCATCTCCCTACTTATCCATTTCCATCTATCCCTCCCTCTCTCCTCCTCTTCTCTCCTCCATTAATCTATACATCTGCAATTTCAGCCAAGCTTCATATTCTGAAACTACAGAACCAACTCTTACCCATGGTATATCTATTTGTCAGGCGTGGCCCTTGTCTTCAGGTCAGCCCACCCCATCCTGTGTCCTTCATGAAGACAAAGTCCATACCCTGTACTACCCTGCCTACTTCTCTGTCCCATCCATCAGAGCCCAGTACGTCTACACTGGAACACTTCTCCCTGGGTGGTGACATGGTGACAGAGGTTTTGGAAGCTGGACAAGCTTGAGTCCTCCACTAAGGACCCAAGAGAGTCTGGGGGCTGGCTTCGGAGACTTGCTTCCTTTTGAGTAAGACATACTATGTCCTCCCATATTCTTTGCATGATTTTCAAATGTCTGTAATTGTTAGATATAATTCCTGGAGATATTTCTTTCAGAGTGCTGGTGTGGTCCCAGATGCTGCCCCACTGTGAACAGCACACACAGTTCTTTTTTGTGGCATCATGTGCTATTACTAGTGGACAATTTGACATCTTTGTAACGTGCACTGAATGTGATGCTCGGCTCATTGTCTGCTTCAGCAGACACATTAGATAAGTATGGCTGCTCTACAGACTAAGGAGCTGGGCTTGGTGACAGCTCATAAGTGGTATTGCTGGGACTTTACCCACAAGCCTGACTCAGAAGCTCCCCCACCTCCCCCACTCTATAGATGATTCAATCTTCCCCAGACACTGGGTTTTCTTGGAGAATTTCACTGGAGAAAGTCTCTCCCTAGGCATAGGGATCCCATGGGAGTGTAGGGGTGGGGAGCATCTGATTTTCCACTTTCTAGCTCTGCCCTCTGATCCCAACTGGCCCCCAGGTCACGTGATCTAGTTACCCAAGCCTGTACCATTCAGCAGGTGTGAGCATCCCCTTTAGGTAGCAGTGTTTGATAGCAGCTCCCTGGTTGACTCTGATGTAACTTCATTTATAAGTCTATCTTACTTCCCACACTAATGTTCTAGAGACAGGGCAGCCGAAGGCTAGAAACTACATGGAGTGGAGCTCTAGAGACTTCTATGCCAGTCCCTGCAGGTCTACCTCAGGCTCTTCATAGAGTCATCCTGAGGCCAGTGAGTCCAGACAGGTACCTTACCACAGAAAGGGTGACTCAGGCAGCTCTCAACTCTGGGCACAAAGGAGCTGCAACACTGTGCCTTATGCCTTCATGGGGATGCCTCCTCAAGAGGGATAGAGAAGGGGGCTGTCCTGAAGACAAAGGCCATATCCTGAAGATGGGCCCCCTCTGGTCATTCTTTCATCTTCCTTCCTTTCTGTTCCTGTTCAGCCTTGTGCTCAGAGGACATTCAGTCCCCACTGGCAGCCCAGCCAGGCACAGGAGCCTTATTGCACCAGCTAGCTCTCTCTTGAATCTTGGAGGCCCTGATTAGCCGAGTCTGGTACTAGACTCAGGCTACACAGACCTTAATGCTTAATCATTGTGGCAAACTTGGCACCTGTTCAGCTTACTTGAGCCTCAGTTTCCTTACTTGTGCATAAGGCCACTGATACCTTTCTTACAGACTTGTGAGGTTCTAGTGAGACACTGAACGAGAGGCGCGTATAGGAGCGTCCCTACACAGAAGGGGTCTGTGAGTGCCAACCTCATTCTGCCAGTCTGATCAGGTCCCCTCTATGGAGTGCAAAGTCCAGGATCAGGCTATTTTGGCCAGCACCTGACTTTAGGAACTGCCCAACAGTTAGGTCTCCCTGCTCAAGGCATATTTCCAGCAGGTGCTGTGAACTGGGGCAGCCACTGTTCTGGTTGCTTCCTCTGGGACCAGGATGACATCCCATTTCACTCTGCCTTCTTATCTGTCTTAGCTGTTTAGAGCCTAGTACATATCCTCCCTGGGTGGTGACATGGAGACAGAAGTTTTTCATTTATTATTTTTATTTTATGTGTATGAACATAATGCCTACATGTATGCATAAGCACCCATGTCGTGCAATGCCTGTGGAGGTCAGAAGAGGGCTTTGGATTCCCCAGGAACTGGAGTTATGGACACCTGTTAGCTGCCATGTGGGTGCTGGGAATTAAATCTGGGTCCTCTGCAAGAGAAGCCAGTGCTCTTAATCTCTGAGTCATCTCTCTAGCCCTAGGCAGAGGTGTTTTCTAAAGCCAAACAAGCTTGGGTCCTCTACTAAGGCCTACAGAGAGCATAGGGGCTGCCTCCAGAAACTCAAGCTTTCTATGGTCTAAGCTTGCTGTCCAAGGGAACTGGGCAAACCACTTATGTCCCAGAGCCTTGGTTTTCCCTTTTAAATGTATAGCGTCTGAGACTGGGGGGAGTGAGGGGTGGGAGGAGATGAGGAAGGTGTGCAGTATGTGCAGCCTGTGCCTGCCTATGAGGTGTTCTAGCCATGCAAGGTCCCTGTGTGCCTGGTCCCCTCCTGGCTCCCAATTTTGACAAATAAGTACTGGAACATATACTGTTCCTTTTGTAAGGAGGAGCCTGCTGGATTCTCTCCAAAAGTCAGCACAAGGACACACACAGCACATCCATGGAACCCTCCCTCTTTGGCAGCCTCCCTCTGGACTCTGTGGTCCCTCAGCCTCCCTTTGGCATTTCAAGTTTTTTTTTTTTTTTCCTTTCTTTTACTATTTGCTTCCTCAGTTCCTGCAGGGAGCTTCACTAGGCATGGACAATTTCTCCTCAGTTTCCTACCTAGAGCTTGACTATGCAGGCTCAGCCTTTACTTTCTCTGGATTTTCCCCTGCCCCACCCCAATTCCTCCCCCCACCATATCCCACGTCAGTGCCCATCACTAAACACTGTATAGGAACCCATCTTCCCTGCTGGTCAGCACTTACCCAAGCTTTCCACCAAGCCATCTTGTTGCCTCACAGCCACTTTTCCCAGGGAGAAGAAGAATCACTGGTTGGTCTCTACTCTGACTGGGCACATCTACTCCTCTGCATGCAATGATCAGGCGGCCGGTGGGTGTGGTTGTGTAAGCAGGCCCAGGCCCCACCCAGCATCCCCTTCCCTTCCACCTCAGGCTCTGCTTGGCTCTGGGCTCCTCCTGTGGCTCCCAGGCCCCACCCAGGCACTGCCCAGGCCTGCCCTGGGGATCACATCATTTGCTGTAAATATTTGGGTGGTGGCTGTCACACAGCCTGGAAATTCTGAGGCAGCCTTTGAAAAATGACTTAGTAAACATTACTGTAATTTCTTACAGGTTTTGCTAGACCTCAATCGTAGAAGAAAGGAATCATACATGTAGTCCCTTCCATTTATTGCAGTCTGTAGTGAGTTCAGCAAAGGACAGGGAAACAGAAAACCCTATTCACTGGGGGTGCACTATGTCTAAATCCCTTTTTAGTCACTCTGTAACCCTGTTCCCTTGAATCCTCATCACAGCCTTAGGAGACATTCATGAGTTCCATATACTATGGGGGAAAACAGACCCCATCATTGAGATAATTTGTCCAAATAACACATTCTGTGACAGAAGAGTCATGGCCCCTGACCAGGTCTGGTGGGCTTGGAGACTCCTCCCTTCCACTCAGGCCCTGTGATATGCTGGCTACCAAGGGGGAGGAGGACTACTCCAAAGAAGAAGCTAATTTTGAGGATTTGCCTACCCTGCTTAGAATGCTCCCAGCACAACTCTCTCTATACAACCCTTTAACCTAGCTAGCTCCTACCACCTACCTTCAATGTGAAGTCCATGCCTTCAGGACCATCCCTCCATTCCAGGAAAGCTCCCATATGGCTCTTGAAAACAGTTCCATAATGATTTTTTTTTCAAATCTAGTGAAACTTCTTCAGGACCATCCCTCCATTCCAGGAAAGCTCCCATATGGCTCTTGAAAACAGTTCCATAATGATTTTTTTTTTCAAATCTAGTGAAACTTTATAGGTGACAGATAAGAATTGCCTCATAATATGAAATGTTCAAGATTCCTGCCCCTGGATTCACTGTTCTACACAGAGTCTTCAATCTGCCCCTTCTGGTGAAATGAGATGGGGTAGTTCCTAGAAATACCAAATAATCCTTTCCTCCCTTAGTTGGTTTTTGTTAGTGTTTTATTCCAGCAACAAAAGGCAGAGTAGAACATGGGCCTCTGGCATGGTATATTGTCTGTCTCCATTCTTCTGTGTGTCTGTTTCTCTCTTGGGAATGGCCTTTTATCTCTCTTGGGTGCATCTGAGGCATCTGGCAGGCCTGGTCATGGCCCTTCATCCCATCTAGTCATCCACTTCCCCTGGGCCACTCAGCTGACCATGGTTACATGATGCCACTGGGTCAGACAGGAAAGGGTGCTGAAAACTCAGTACTCCTCCCCTGAGATTTAGAGCCACATAGAGCTTGGGAGAATAAGTGCCTTGGACTGGGTCTTCATAGATGAATTCATTGCACCTGTGCTTACCACCATGTGGGTGGGCCATGGGAGAACCACACAAGAAAATGATGACAGAAGCTTGCCTTGGGCCTGAGGGTACTAAGTGCCCAGAACCCAGTCCAGCTGAACTGCTGTGGGTCCCCAGATCCTACTACATGTGCCATTCTCACGTTTCAAATTTCAGAGTGATGCCTTGGGTGGCATTCTAGACACTGAGCTGAGTGCATGGTACAGGTTGTGTAGCCCCCAGTCCTGGGAGGAACATAGATGTCAACACAGCCCTGTACATTGGAGGTGTGAGCCTTGAGAGGCAAGTACAGGATACAGTTTGGGCAAAGGGCAGGAGGTCTATTTAGCCTGGGACCCGAGGTTCTGGGGAAGGGTGCTCAGCGAAAGGGATTCTCCACTGGGTCATGCAGCAACACAGGAGGCAACAAGAAGGGGGTACAGAGGCAGCTAAATGGAAAGGGGGGAGGGAGGCCCGGGTATGGTCCTCACATACTGATGAAGCATGTGTACAGAGAGAGTTTGCGTCTCACAGCTTATTCCCATTCAGACATACATCAGACAGAGGAGAGAGAGAGACATGCAGGAGCTTGTAGTTCAAAAGGGAGTGGCCTGTTGTGGTTGAGAATGGTTAAAGAGTCTGGGGAGAACAAGCAGTTAGGGCTGGGTACTGGGTGAGGCTCACAAATGATGTTTGAGCTGAGCCTGAGAGCACTGAGTCTGAGTAGGGAGCAACCAGGGCTCCTCCCAGTTGTACTCCAAGGTCCCACCCAACTGGTGGGCAATGCAGAGTACAATGCATTCTTCTGTGAGGGCCTGCCTCAAGGTGCTTAGACATTCTGCCAAACTTAGTGTGACTGCAGCTTAACATGAGGTGAGAGGAGATCAGGCCGAACAGGGGTAGTTGGCAGAGGTTAGACTAGTCATGTGGTATAATTGGGAGCTGCTCAGCCCTAGTGTTGGTCAGAGATACTCCCCAGTGCTCCCCAGACGTGGACTCATGCAGAGACCGAGCAACGGCCATCTGCCTCTGTTCTCTGCCTCTGCTCAGTTTGCCTATCAGCATCTACCTATCCCACCCTCCTGGGTTCTGTATCCTCTGAGTCTTCCCATCTGTAGCAGGCTCAATGGATTTCTCCACTGTTTTTGCTCTTTATCTGGCAAGGCAGCACACCCAGCTTGTGGGTTTGTGTGTTTGTCTAGTAAGCTCTGGTGTCTTCCTGTCGCCTCTGACCATTGATGGGGAGAGCTGCCACACACTGCAGCCTCTCATCTGCCCCTCAGGTGCCACTCTCTTTCATGGTCTATCTCAGTGCCCTGGGCTGTACCACAGCACTGCAGACCTTCTTTCCAGTCATTCCTCTTTTTGGCTCTGTCTAGTCCTGTTAAATTTCTAATTCATTATGCTTTCATTCTTTTCAAACTCAGTCTTTTTCCTAAGTAGCTTTTCTTGTCTTAAATATATTTTCCTCCTTCCAGATAGTTCTGTTCTGGGTACTTTCTTGGCTCCTAATCTTTTCATTTATCGACTTGACTTTTTTTAGATACTAAGTATTCCCCCATCTGTGTCTTCTTCAGCAGGGAATTCTTTTCCATAGAATCCTGGTACCATGGTTAGGGACAGTGTCTCCAGAGGGAGTTTTGCTGGAACCTGTTCTACTCCATCAGCTGTAATGGGTCATAATGCTCACTTCTCATCCTAAAATTTCTAACCCAACTCACAGCACACTCAGTGATTTTCCACAGTGCCCAGAGCAGGAGGCCTTCTGAGCTTGGCTGAAGGTAAAGTTTTTGTTCTGTTTTCAGAGGTTGGGGTTGAGGTGGGGTTATCCCTCTGCTGTTCCAGATTAAGAGGGTGTAGATTCCAATTCCAAAGTCTGGCAGGAAGCATCTCGCCAGAAGTCTTGTCTTTAATTAATTTATTAAAGTTCTAGCTGTTAGTCAATGACTTGGCTTCAGGTTTCTTCCACTAGAAGTGTTTGTTAGAAATTTTCTGACACTTAGAAAATGGATTTCTTGGCTGGGTGTGATAATA